GCTTTCCATCTTAGCATTCACACAGATATTGTATAACATGGCATCATTTTAAAAGATTTGAATAATCTGACATTACGTTGGAATTTCAATGTTTAAACAGTGATCCCCGATGTTTAAATGTTACTTTATTTTTGCATGGAGATAATATTTTTTTTATAAATAATTTGAGCTTTAGATATTTTTATAAAAATAAGCAATTTCCTTTTCTCCAAATGATACTTAAAAAATTTGATCTTCATTATTGCTTTATAACACTTGAGCTGGAGTGTTTTAATCCTGCAGGAAGAAAAAGCACAACACTATTGACTCAGTACTCAAGATAATGTGATTCAAGATAATTTGATGATGCAGGCAGTATTCCACATTCACAATCACACGTAAAACATCTTTAGGGAGCAGAGCAGACACCAGAGTAAGATTTTTGATTATTCCTACACACAACTTACTAAGATCTATTCGTTCTCTCTCTCCTCTTACATAGAATATGTTTTGATAGACTAAGCAATTGCATCATATCAAGCCTCTCCAGTTCGGGTGCCTTAGGCTGCTTAACACAAAGCTTTAGGAAAAGTCCTATATTTTTTTATTTTCATAACCTGGCTCTATTATTAATTGTGTGGAGCGCTCACAAATCCTGAATCCCATTTGCCTCATGCAGTTTGGCCCTTCAGCTGCAAGGTCACGATCACATGGCTGTGCCTTCAGCTTTTGTAAGCTTGATGTGAACAATGTGTGCTTTCTGTAAATAACATTAAATGGCCTGCTCCTACAGTAATGGCCCATAAATATGCCAATCCCTTCTCTTCTCCTCTCTGAAAATCTGCTTGGGAGCTGACAGGGTGCTAATTCACAAACAGAAAGAGAGGTGGAAAGCAAAGATGTGATTACAAATGCCAATGCCATGATATAATTCATACAGTGTGTGTTGTTATCAGTAGCAATTCTTAATAATCATACTGGGCCAACGGCCAAACTCATTACTGATCACTGCCTTCCCTTCCTCTAGAGCTGGATGCAGTATAAAAATGAACTGTACTTCCATCCCTCACTTCTTCCACAGTCTCTCACCAAGACACAAGCTAGAAAAATGTTTTATCTTCTGTTTCAGTTGAACAATACTCATTTTAATTGCTGAATCACAGCGTTGAAACACCACTGTAGGCGGTAGGTTAAAAAAATAAATCTCTAAAAAGATAAAGCAGCACACATATTTTAAAGACATATAGCTAAGGTACATGCACCACCTAATTAAGGCATGCTTTTCAAAGACAGTAACCCTCTGCCAGGTCCACCTTATGTGGCTATGATATTTGAGCAGATGGTACTAGGAAGTGAGTAATGGGCAGAGACTAATCAGCCTGCCCTTTTTTCTGTCCTGAAACATTTTAGAACATTTGAGGAAAAAGCTGAGAGGCTTGAATGACGGGAATACTAACCCTGAATCAAGGGTCATTAACAATGCATACAGACAAGCTACAGCAAATTAAACTGGATAACATGGCCATTATTAGTGTTTTAGCATCCCATATAAAAGTTCTTCACAAACCAGATGATGAAATTAAGGCACTGCTTAGCACACCTCTTCCTGTATGATCATGGTGACTCTTTGTATAGTGTTATTTTGTTTGAGCTTAAAATGTTTCATAATAGGTTATACCCCATTCCACTATGATGAAATTAATACAAATCTGTCAACTTCCTTTAAGAGCTCCCCTGCTGACCCACTTCCAAAATACGCCTTCCAGATTTTCTTTTTCCAAAGAACGTCATCTTTTTTTTTTTCCTAAGTGGACTTGCGAAACTTTGTCAATGCCAGTTAATTTTTCAAAATTACTAAAATGCTGTGATCGTTACAAAACAAGCCGCACTGTTCACACATCTGCATTTTCCATTTAATCTTTAACTTTCATTGGTGCTGTCTGTAATCCCTCAAACATGACTAATGGGAAACATTAAGTACAGATTTGGGAACACATGGTCTTAATTAAAATGTTGGTTCACAGAGGACCATGGAAAAAGGAGTTTTTAAATCATTCTTCACAATACCCTGTATGTTTTTTTTATTTGCACTTTCGGACACACACACAGAAATTACAAGCAGGAACAAATCACATTTTCTCCATTGACACTTTAGAAACAATAAATAAGCTAAGACACACCTTCAAACTGTTATTAACCCTGATATACAAAGCCCCAACACTTTTTAGGATGTTGGCTTTCCTGTTTACATAACAAAAAAAGTCCTTAAACCAGATGGGTGGCATATGAAAGCATCTTGAGAAGGCCACACAAAGATTTGCTTTATTAAGTCTGACAAGGAAACAGGCAGAAGAGGTTCTCCACTTGAGCTATTCTTTAACTTCTGTTAGCAATAGTCCGTTAAACCCACATCTCAACTTACTTAATCAACAGCACTTGAAGAAATTCAGTCTCAAGGTCATAGTAACACCATGACCTGAGACTTTAAAGGATAGTAAGGGCATAATCACCATAACAGCTCTGACTTTAGAAGCCACTAGACTAAAGCTTTGGGCTTTGATGTTACCAACTTGTTTCATCACTATCAAAGAGTGGCAAAAAGCAACTTAAAGATGGGGTATGCAATTCTAATCCAATACACTTCTTTTTGTCAAATTCACTGAATATCTCCTCACGGTCCGTTTGCTGTCCATTCTGTGTGTGTGGTGATAAAATAAAATCAGGTGCACAGTTTGTACACAGCCTTGCACAGCTCTGTGAATGGGAAAACAAACCAGACCAACCCACGCAACACTATTCCAGCCATGATTTGTGTGTCAGGTAATGTTAAATTACTCACCCACAGACATTCAGCTTACTTTCCAGTTCACTTTAGATATGCTGTTGTGCTTATATTTATTCACATAAACTGCATATTTGTGATATATATTTGCAAGAGTATCTACAATATCCCAAGACTATAAAGAAAGAAAGACTTACTTACAACCAATCCCTGGTGAGTGCAGGAACCGTTTGGCATTGAGGGAAATATGCTTATTGTCTTTCTTGCTGAGAATTACATAAATACATAAAACCAGCAGTTATGTACATTTAAAAAAATAGATAAAATACATAAATGAATGAAGTGAAAAAACATGAAATGCAAAATACACAAGAGCTTAGAGGCAACCATATAAATAATAAATAGAATCAGGTCCAATGTAACATTATTTGAAGTTAAAACCTTGTCTAAAGAGGTGGGTTTTGATAAGTGATTTGAAAGAGGGTGAAATGCAATGGTGAAAGCTCTGTCACCCCAGGTACGGTGCTTGGTCCTGAGAAAGGGTGGGTTTGGGGCAGATGATGATCATGCCAAATTTATTGTAATTTAGTTGTAGGAAGTTGGTTTGCATCCAGGTTTGTATGTCAGTGAGGCAATTGGTCAGAGTTGTAGAGGTAACTGTTGTGATTGATCTGGTGGATATGTAGATCTGGACGTCATCGGCGTAGCAGTGGAAGCAGAGACCATGTCTACGTATGATATTTCCGAGTGGCAGGATGTAGATGATGAACAAGCACCGAACCTTGGGGGACGCCTTGTGATAAAGGAGCAGCGGAGGAGGTGCCTCAACATGAGAGGATCTATAAGACTGTAAGATCTGTACAGTTAATATAAAGTCAAAGCCAACAGCCAGTTAGCTTAGCTTAGCATAAAGACTAAATACAGGGGGAAACAACTAGCCGTACATTGTCTAGCACTTAAAAAAAATATTTAAAAAACACACCTCAAAAGATCAATGATTTACCCGTTATAACTCCTACGTTGATCTGTTGTTTAATCCAAATAAAAACAAAAGCGTAAAAGCTACATTTTGTGGTTGTGTGGCGGGCTGTTTCTTTGCCGGGTGCAGTGACTTTTTCAGTGCAGTGCAGTGTCTACTGGCAACCTCACAGTGATGATTAGACTTTAGGGAGTAACTGGTCCCCACCAAGAAATAAAGTTTATGACTGTAGACACATTTTTAATCACCTCACGGTCTATATTGTCATATCACCGAACCTTCCTCCCAGTAATAAAGACAGCCCTTATGTTCCTGTTTTTCAGCACATTAATTGCTCCAGAAAGCTCTTATTTGGTCATTTGCATGTCACACAATATCTACACCTCTAGGTCACCTTGATTTAAACTTTGAAATTTGTTTGAAAAATTTAAAGTTTTTATAAGTCTATATAATGAATGTTTCAACTGAAGTCCTATGATTATATTTATGTGTTATTGTATGTCAGGGCATGCTTTACATTGATATACAGTCGTCTTGTGCTGTTTTTTCAACATTAATACCATGGATAATTCTCTTAGTTATGAAGGAGCAAAGACATTTTTTACCCACCTCACCCATAGGCTAGTACAATTCCTGCCCATACATACTCATTTGTTGTCCACTGAGTTACAGAAAGTGCTGACCCTTTTCCCACAGCACTTTGACTGAAGACACCTGACTGAGTAGAATAAGTTATGCACTTTAATTAGGCTTTGTTGACCCTTTTGAGCCATTGCTTATCTTTCCTTCTTTAAGCTGCATTAACCAATTTTTGACAACTGGAGGACAAATACATAAAACACAGCAATGCAGCCCTTGGTCTAATATGGCTAACAAGAAGTTAGCTAAGTTATGCTAAAAATCAACAACCTAGGGCTAATTATCCATCAGACAAAAAATGCAACATTAACAGTTACAGTGTCATCCTATTGGTGTTGTGTTTGTAATAACGTTACACCTAAATCTAAGTCTGGTTCACTTATCGCTTAGCTTTGGTCTGGTATTCAAAGTCTTCAGACAAATCTACTAACTTTAACTGTTAGCTTGCGAAATGTCTTTCAGGGGTTTATCTGGTAACGTTAACTTACCTAGCGTTGTGCTTTTCAGTGCTGGGCAGGTGTTCCACTCTGCTTGTCTTGTTTGTTTGTTGTTTGCCTTCAGTCTCCTGTAACACTAATCTTGTTTTTTTTTTAAACATCGGATAATTTGCGTTGATTAACAGCATCATAGTTGAGGCATAGGATTAACTAGGCCTACATCATTTTTCAGCATTCAACATTGTTTATGTAAGTTAACATTATCCTACGTGGAAAGTGACGGAAAAACTTTGCTTTCTAGCTGAAACCAAAAGTGTTCAGTCTGCAGCACAATAAGCAAGATATTTAACTCCTGTTTCAATTAGGCCAAAAAAAAATGACGGACGTTTCTCTTTGCTTGTTGATAATGAAGCACCAATTAAAAGCACCAAATAAATTTAGGAAATGTGTCACAATGTCATTGTTTGGCTAAACAATCTAATCTGAGAAACTGTAAAAGTCCTTATTGTGCAACCAAGTGGAAACTTTTATTTGACATAGGCTGCAGAAAGGATGTTTTAAGCTGTTGACAGGAGGTAGGCCTACCACTTAGGTAGTACTACTTCATGGAGCATCAAGTTGCCATGAGCTATGTGTTTCATTAATAACATGTAGGTGGGTTTATTTTCAACAAATACTTTTTGTCTTTTTGAGGTTTTGTTCTTTGTTGCATCGACATTGGTGCCTTATTGGTTACCACAATAAAGCGTTTTCTGTTCCCATCATCTGGTTCTGCAGCTCTAAGCCTTCTCAAGTCTTATCCTTTACTTTGCAGTTGAAATATCCATCCCTCATCACTGCTGTGACAATGGAGTTCCAGAGCTGCAAAGACAAAGCACTCGTCACCCATCTAAGGTCTGTATGTGACCATCTGGAAAAGACATGGGAACAAATAGGTTGTAGGGGCAACTGGAGTCTCTCTCTCTCTCTCTCTCTCTCAAATGCCTCCCAGACCTGGTGGTGTCTGTGACAGGCCCTCTCCTGGTGAGCTAGCTTCCATGATGAATGGCCACCTTTCCACTCTTTATCGCCCCACTAAATCATGCGCTTACCATGCTTTTATGACCAATTGTCACTGCTTTGTTTTACTTTCCCCCCCATTTTTTTGACCGAAAGTCCAAAGGCTGTGGCTTCATTTTTTTCTTATGTGTATCACATTAATCTTTGAGGGTTTATCATTGCATTGGTATTCAGTTGGAGATTTGAGAGCTACCTTTGTTAATAAAATTCACTGAGACAAATGTGTCAGACCTTGTTTGGCCTGGAGAAATGTTCCACCGAAAATGCTCCTATCTGTTATGCAGCAGTCCTGTCTTTTATTTCTATTGTAATTCTGGAAAATCATAAATTATTTATGTGAGTGAGGGTCGCACTTGGAGTTGGTCAGAGCCCAGAGATTGACAGGCAGACCGTATGTCAGGGCAAGGGAGAGGGCCGAAGAAGAGGTTGAATTTTTTCCCCTGAGGTGTGATAAATTACTAGTCAAAGGAGTTTGTTCTTTGTTTATCAATGTCCTAGTCTTTATGTGTGTCTGCTTCTAGTTTTAAAATTGCATTCTGTGATGAATCTGCAAGACAGCTTAGGGTGTAACTTTGCTGTTTACACACATTGCACACTTTAATATTTTATTTTTACATAATACTAAACAAAATGAAAATGCCATTTTAGCTTGTAGTGGTGCCATTATAATTTTGTGGGAAAACCAGAATGATTTTCTTACCAATTCTGTTTGTTCTTCATGTATTTGTATCATTATTTATTTATTTATTATTTGTGTTTTAGTATGAGAAGCTGCTTTAGAGTCAGTCTTCCATTAGAGTTTTCTGTAAAGTAGGCAACACTTCATCATAAATCAATAGTCAAGGCATCTGTAGCTGCTCCACTTAAACAAATTTGTGGTAAATAATGCAGTCGGCTTTGGGACTGCAGTGGGTAAAAATCTTCATCGTGGTTCTCTTTTTTCATTTTTATTATAGAAAATAACTGGCTGTATATTAATGTTTACAATACAAATAAAAAGTCTACATTAGAAGTGTACTTTCTAAAGAGTAATTCAAAATAAATTGTTGTATGGATGCTGACACTTTTTGATTATGCACTAGGAGAAAAGCCAAAGCTGTTTAGAAACATACAAATAAATACCAAGTAGATTATACCAATAAAACTGTTTTATAACTATCTTGATGATGCCCTGCTTCAGTAAGCTTTGGCTGCTGCACAGATTAAAATCAAGATATGTTTGGTCAGATATGATGTACTCTCTCTCCCCCTAGTGGATAGAGAAAATCCTGTCTGGCAATTTGTCCTGAATGATGTTCATCTGTATGATTGATTTCCTCATCCACAGGGAATTGATTAATACAGAAGGACAGAATTAAATGTAACACTTTTTGTTGTAATTGATTAATATTATAGTCTGTCAGAACAAATTGTTAAATTGATAAGAGTTTAAAATGAGAAATTAAATGAGTAAGAGTTGAAAACATTTGGGTTTTTTACTTCATGGGACAATATATCTTTTTTATTTTGAAGGTGATGTTTTTTGTATTCGCAAGCAAGACGATCAATATTCATGGGTCATTTTTAACTCTTTCCTGATAGAATCTGACAGCGCATAGAAGCCTATTCTGCAGTCAGATTACGACTTTGAGGTTCTGATGACCTATCAATCACATAAACAAAGCTTGAGTGTGCAAGCCACTGCCAGGGGAGGTCTGACCTGCGGCCTAGCGTGACATTCAAGGAAGGAGTGCTACTCACCCAGGAAATCCCATTACACCAAAGTATGATGGATATCAGTACTGGGAGAGCTCATATGTGGTCTGACATATAATTTGTTATAATTTGTAAAAAAAAAAATAATAATAAATAATAATAAAAATAGTATGACCACATTCACCTTTATCACTGTCTTTCACTTTTTCAAAACTCTGTCCCAATACACACACACACACTAACTCTTATTCCTAATTTCTAGACATCTGTAAACAATGTTCATCTGTATAATAGTTGTATTTGAGATCATATAGGTTACTGAGAAATTGAATTGGTCATTTTAAATAAATAAGTACTTTAAAAATTGATTCCACAACACTAGATTATTGCACAGAAAGTAAACACTTAGACTTGCATGTAGAAATTAATAATGAAATCTTTTTCCATCGAAACCTGACTATAGTTTTTATAGATGCCATGGAGTTTACTCTCTTTGCCACAAAGAACATGGATACAAATTAATTATTTACATTTTCAATGAATAAATAATGATAATAATTATCTAGTTTTTCTGAATTACATTTCTCAATTTATAACAATGCAAAGTGAATAGTTTTGCCAGTAGTGAATGAACAGACAGCCAAACTGTCTTGCATACCTGTGCTATCTGCACAGGTATAGATTAGCTTTATTTGTAAGCTTGTAGTTGGACTCCGGTGCTGATCAATAACACCAAAGATATGATGGGACGCTTCTTATGGACAAAGGTGAATAACAATGTGAAGTCTGAGTAAAACACTCTTTATCAACACTATGGAAACAAAAATGGCTGTCGCTCTAAGCAAATGTCACCTGTACCCCCTGTGATGAGGCTAGGTATTGTATAATATCACTTACCTCAAAACTAAAAGTAAAGGTTAATCAGGAACCGTCTGTTCTCTTATCAAAAGTCTTCCATTCTTTTTGTCTGTTCTTCTGTACCATATTGATTGTCCATGGTTAGAGAATACCATGGACATTTTCAGGTAAAATTTTATAAAAGACACCCCAGCATGCCACCTGTGGACTTCTCTTTGACTTTATTGACTTTTCTGATGACATTTATCTTCCTAAAAAAATAACTATTCCTGACTGTAGTGTAACACGCAAGTCACATGTCTTTCTCACATGTCTTATCTGTTTTTTTTAGTTCTCACAGTGAGTGTTGTTTACCTGCCTCTGAACTTTCCCCTTTATATGCTTTACCGATAAGAAACAAGCAAACAGACAGTGGACCAAATTTCACTACTGAGTAGTCACTGGAGTGGACCAGCACGGAGCAGCTTTTTAACTCACCACAGAAATGTTAAAAGTGACATTTTGAAGAAATTCAACACCTTCACAGCGGATCAAGAAGGCGAAAACAAAAGCTAGCAAAAACTGTGATGAAAGAAAGGTTCTGGGTGCACACATGAGATACCTGTGAGGAAGAGGGACTGAGTCGAATGCATGTTCTGGAAGTCACGGTGTACATATCAAAACCTAAAAAACCCTTCTAGCTGTAGAACCTCAACAGAACCATGAAGCTTACTGGGACTATCCATAAACTGGAGTACGCTCATTCCAGCACAGACACGGAAGATTTGAACAATGTTATGGTGATACCACAGCAAACAAATACAGGTATGAACAACTTTACCTCAATCATTGGTCTACAAGCATATGCCTCCCAAGTGTCATCAGCTATAACTCCAAAAAAAGCTGAAACAGTTTAGGGCTGCTACTCATGATAATTATTATAATTGATAAATCTATTGATCTCTTTGTCGATTAATTGATTGATCTAAAAGAATGTCCAATAAGTGCTTCTTTTAGCGGCCCGGGTTTTGAGTCCACCCTGTGGCCCTTTGCTGCATGTCGTCCCCTCTCTCTTCTCCTTTTCCAGACGCTATCCTCTGTCCTGTCTCTCTCAAGAAAGGCACTAAAAAGCCCCAAAATATATATTTTTTTAAATCTCTGATCAAAATAGTTTCAGATGAATTATCTGTCCTTCAACTAATCATTTCAGCATACTACTTGCATTCTGATCTAATTTCCTTCATAATCTTGTACTCGGTCGTCATTATAATTAGGGCTCCGTTGAGTTGAATCAGAATCCTTTCCTTGCCACTTTAAATGGAGAAGCTTTACCAACAGACCGCTCTTCAAATCCAGATAACTGCGAGGCAAATGTATTCTAATCTCTTAATTCAATCTAACTGATCTTTGACCACAGAAAGCATTTTCCTTGTTAAACTGTAATCCCTAGCTGCTTCATCTCCCTAAACTAAATATGCAATTTACATACATTATAGCCTGCAGTCTGTACAGTACGAGCATCAGTGTAGGAACACTGCACCATGAACATGTATTTGGAGGTCAGTGCCTGTAAGAGAGACAATCCTGCAGCAATCAAACACTGACAGGATGCAATTTAGAGCAGCATGGAAGGAGACGGAATTTAAACAGAGCGCCCAATGTAAAATTAGTCAGAGGAGAGAGTAGTGGACTTTGACTTGTCACTGACCTCTAACTGCTTTAATTAAATGGGGAGTTTTCTCTTCCTCTTGAGTAATAACTAGCAGTGCTCCTCAGAGGCCTATGGCACTGACAGTCAAATAGAGCAGTGATATCTCTACCTATAACCCTGCTCTTATTGTCATCACCACTGCTCATGCCAGATCTACCAAACAGTGCCCAGGTGATTCTTAAGGGGTCAAGTTCACATTCAACATCCCACTCCAAAGATCTGTCCATGTACAAGGTTATTTCTGTTCACAGAGGTGGAATAAGATTCATTATGTGCCTTCGTTGATGAAAGGGATCATGAATGATTGTCTCTGTCAAGGTGCCTGTCTGCCGCAATCTGTTTCAGATTGTCAAAATGCTTGTGAGGCTTATTAGATTAGACTCTGAGATATTTACTTATTCATTAGCAACAAATAAAAGTGGTCCATGTTGTAAAGGTCATAGAAAATCCCACTCTCCTTATGATACAAATGTCCATCATCTGCCTCCGATGCAAACTTTTCCTTGGGCATTTTCATTGTGTACTGTAATCTTTTAATTGGCAGACTTGCCAGTGTCAGCACCCACCTCATCACTGTTACAGCCCAATGGAGGTCGGACTCTGTGTTCCATATGTGCAGACAGAGCCACAGGTAAACATTATGGTGCATCCAGCTGTGATGGCTGCAAGGGCTTCTTCAGGAGGAGCATTCGCAACAACCACGCTTACAGCTGTAGGTGAGACCCATCATAGATCCTCCTCAGTACTACAAATCACTAATCAGAGTATTTTAATAAATTGTATATTTTAATATCCATTAACATATTGCAATAAACTCTCGGACAAGAAGAATTGACAGTAACTTTGCATATTGTCCAAGTTCAAGTTAAATTGAGTTAGAAGTTATTCTTTGGTAATAAAGTTATTACCCATAGGGTGCTATATATCATTGAAGAAGCTTCACCTGGCAATAGAAAAGCAAACAGATGGTCATAATCACTGGGACCAGTCCAGGCACGGAAGCAATAGTGTATATTTAATGACAGAGAGGACTCTAAATCAAAGATGAGAAATAGCTGTGGGACTGACCTATTCTTTGTAGACAACATATTTTGTCATGTCCTGGCTGCATTAAAAAGTGCCCTTTAAATGCTCAACAACAAAATATGATTAATTCCTCAACCCCAGAATATTCAACATGTGCATCTGTGTCTTCCTCTGACAAATATTAAAGGTGGTCTCCAGTGATTTTACACATTAGAGTCTTTTTACAGGTCTTGGGGAGTACTACTGCCAATGTAAAATAAGTTGTATAAAGCCTTTTGTGGCTCCACAGGGAGCTATGTGAAATCTGATAAATTGCCTCAAGTGATGTCACTTGGGTCAATGTCATGTGGGGCTGAAAACTGCACGTTAGAAAATGAAAAAAATCTTACCAGACCTCTGTAGCCCGCTGCTCATCTCTGCTTGAGGCCAGCCGCTATAGGTATTTTAGCTGCTGCTAGCATTACACTGCTGAACCGCTGTACTGATTTTGACTGTAGGTCTGACAATGTTATAAGAGAGTAATGTTCAATCTGTAAAGTACTCTTTTAATATAATCTTACAGTTGTCGTGAAAGGATCTACAGCAGGTCCATCTGTGCTTATATGCTGTACATGCTTTTTTTCAGGTTCAACAAAGAATGTATTGTGGACAAAGACAAAAGGAACCAGTGTCGTTACTGCAGACTACGAAAGTGTTTGAAGGCTGGAATGAGAAAGGAAGGTCAGAGGAAATATTTTAGTTAGTTAGTTCTGAAATGGCACCTGACTGAATAGCCCTAGAGCCAAATACCACCCCAGCCACGCCCCTTAAAGACACTACACGTAGCATCATTGACAGGTGTGGTTGGGTGTGGTCAGAAGTGTGCTCTGTTGCACCCATTACAACACTCAACAGTGATGTCACAGGGTCCCAGCGTACATGTATACATCACTGCAGCAAGGTGAGAAGTTAAACCACTGGAGGTCAGCAAAGACAAGATTCAGTAACTCTTCCAGCAGCTTTCATTTTTCATTTAATGCAGTGCACCTTCTGTGTTAAAATTCACAAGGACCTGCATAAATGGTTTAGATATATACAATATTCAAAACTTTCACTTCACCAGTCACAACTTCACATTCAAGAAATCCGGGGTGGTTTCACAATGGAGAAAATCTATTCTTTCTTGAGCAACAGTAAGTTTGTCAGCTTTCATGTCTGTGTGTATGTGTATGGTCACCCTGTATACTGTTGGCCTTATCTTCCATTGAATCCCGCAGATAAGCAGGGATAAAGAGATGCAATCAGAGGAACCATGAATAGTATCTACACATGAATAATTAACATGGCTAAGCATAAGCAAATATTTGCTCTACAGTTTTCTGGAAATGTTGCTCACCACCCCCTGAAGTGAAGGCCAGGGCCACTACTTCACTAATTTGTCTGCTTTGCATATCATGCTGTAGCATCACTTTCAGATTAAGCCAGAAGTACAGCTGTGATGGAAACACATAAGAAAAGGATTAAACAAGACTCCTTGGACAGTCAGTCATTTTATACTTGACCTCTGAGCACACTCCCTGTAACTGTTTACTCCACATCCAGACTTAACTGATGGTCCACAGAAGATTCATATGGCACATTGTCATGCAGGACCGTGTCAGCGAAGCACAGAGGGAGCCTCCCGCTCCTTCTCCTCCTCTAGTTTGATTAATACGCTCCTGATTGGTTGCTGAGAGGACAGCTCTGATGACTGATTACTCTGACACTTGGCCCTGTTGTCTGGCTTTGTAGAGCCATACTGGAATCAGTCTGAGGCCATCCAGATTGCCCTGTTTCTAATGACTCTCCCAGAGTCATCAACATGTGATGACATCCCCTCTGCTAAACATAATCCACACCATCAAGAATCCAGGCATTACGCCCACTTTTTTTTCAGTTCTGCCACATTTGCTAAGTAGGAAACATTTGGCATGGCCAATGTTGGTGTGAACAGCAATGTCGCAGAGGATAGGGAGACCTTGTGGATGCAAAGAGTAGCTGAGTAAAAAGGTTGAGAGCAGAAGCGATGTCTGGAGAAGCCAAGAAACTTCTCTAATGGTTCTTTCCTCTCTTTAATCTCCAGCTGTTCAGAATGAGCGAGACTGCATCAGCAGTCACAGAAGCAAAGGACAGACAGTGGGCACACTGTCCATCAGTGTTCTGCTAGAGGCAGAGGCCAATGTGCAACAGGTAACACGCCAATGCTTGAGATATCAAATACAAGTTCTGTGACAGAAATGGGCACTTATATTTCTCAAATATGCCAGCCAAGGGACCCTTTCCTATTTCTAGAAATCATGTAGATAAAGGCCAGAGAAAGAGAGGACATTGCTTAGACAGGCAGAAATTCAATTCTGTGGAGGTTCTAACTGTAGACTGGATTCAGTTACTCCTTAGAAATGACAAAATTGCAGAGGGACCCCCCTCATAGCACATTTCATTGCACCACTAGGTCTGGGATTGTGTGCCGATGTTCAGTTACGTTCAAATGCATAATAACAACCAGATATATGCTTTGGCATGTAAAAAGAATGAACAGAAATAAATCAGATGATTAGCAAATGAGCTACAACGGTATATGCTGCTGGGATGTTTTTTCACATTGGTCATCATGTGGTTTCCATCTAGCATTGTCTACCTGCCTTGTCTTGCTTTAACCTTCACAGCTCTCTGAGTGCCAAAGCACTCATACACCTAGCCGCATCATCACCTTCCTCATACCCCATTTATCTCCCTCCACGCATACACACTCACACAGCCTCTCTAAGGTTCATTCCCACATTGCAGTATCACCTGAGCCCACTGTGAACTCACATTATGCTTTGCTGCTCTCAGTCCCCAGCTCTGGTCTCACCTAGGAGTCATGACATCAACACCAAGAAGACAGCCTGCCTGAGAGATGTGTTTGAATCCATGAAGCAGCAACTCCTCCTGCTGGTGGAATGGGCAAAACACATCCCAGAGTTTTGTAGCCTCACGATAGACGATAGGGTACGAAGGGGACAGAATACCTAAAGACTTTTATCTTTCTAAAAGCTAACTTATACCTCAATGCAGAATAGTGTAACAGCAGTTGGATTTATAAATTGACAGTGTTTGCATCTGTCTGTTCAGACTAAGGCATTGCTTTACTAGCCGTGCTGCATGTTACATGTATGTAACATGAAGTCTGTGTATGTCTGTGTGCAGGTAACTCTGTTACGAACCCACTCAGCAGGACATCTCATCCTAGGGGCAGCAAGACGCTCTTTACCTTTTTACAATCTCATCCTCCTAGGTAGGACAGATTAAACCTCCCACTGGCTGTGTGTTATTTTATTTCATTACTCAGTTATATGCAGAGAAGAAACATTGTTTTTAAGTATTACATGTAGTTACAGTAATTTTCATGCTACACTAGCTTTCATAATATGAATGGATATTTTGTGTTTTTTGAGCAGGTAATGACTTTGTGATCCCCCTGAGAGGTGCAGAGGTAGAGGTGTCCAGAGTGGCTTTGAGAATCCAAGAGGAGCTGGTCAAACCTCTCAGACAGCTGGACATAACAGACAAAGAGTTTGCTTGTCTCAGAACCATTGTCTTCTTTGCCCCAGGTCAGTCCATTCCGAAAGAGTGTGACTGTGGATTGTAATTTCTGTTCTGCCACTTGACCTCATCTGTTGCACCAGACAAAGAATAACATTTTTTGATGCTCTCTCTCTGTTTATTTTCTTGGCCTTTTGCATCTGTAGTTTAGTCTGAGTGTCTGGCTTCAGCATGTTTCAGGGAGTCTTTAATAATATCAGGATGTGGCAAGGTCCTTGGCAGTTGGGCAGAGGCGTCTGCCTGCTGAGTAGCAGTAGAGACAGGCTGGAGACCAAAGGCACAGTGATTTAACTCTGCCCCACAGCCCAGCAAAGACAGCCACTACAAACTAGGCTTGAGAATATCACAGAATTTTAAAAACAATTTTACTTTACTGAGTTAACTATGGTCAGATACTGTCAAAGTGGCTACTGTACTATTTTTTATTATGCCCACTATAACCTATTGTTCTTTGACTAACTGATATTCAGTTTTTAAATAAATAATCAGATCTGTCAGATACATATCATATCTGACCTGATCAATATTATCGGTATATACTGTAGTTCCCTTATGGTGCAACATACGAGACAACTGATCGTACACAATACAAGTAAGACCTGTAAAGAGATGGTGACCTACACAAGGAGACAAGGAAACTTCTCTGTTCTGACTGCCATTTCAAGCACAAAGCTTTTCCATAATATAAAAGTAGCTTTTGTAACAGCTCAGAAAAACAATCTTGAACCCATACTCAAAGACAGGCAGGTTAGGTAGTTAGTTAAGTAGTTAATAGTTCACATTTACTTAAGTAAAAACACAGGCAATGTTCAAAACCAGGCAGGTATAAAAAAGGCTGAAATGCTAGGGCAAACACAAACTACACAATCCGGCAGGGAATGAGTGAAGATGGGCCAGTATCTACAGGTGTTTCTCAGAAAATTAGCATATCATGTAATATCATTTTTTCCCATAATTTAATTCAAAAAGTGAAACTTCATATATTCTAGATTCATTACATGTAAAGTGAAATATTCCAGGTCTTTTTTGCTTTAACCTTGATGATTACGGCTTACAGCTCATGGAATCAAAAACCCAGAATGTCAAAATATTAGAATATTAGAATAAATACAGAAATAACAACAAGCACTTGGCTCCTTTTGCATGAATTACTTCATCAGTACGGCCTGGCATGGAGGCAATCAACCTGTGGTGCTGCTGAGGTTTTATCGAAACCCAGGTTGCTTTGATAGCTGCCTTCAGCTGTCTGTACAGTTGGTCTGATGTCTCTCATTTTCCATAGATTTTCTAAGGGGTTCAGATCAGGTGAGTTGGCTGGCCAGTCTGGTCTCTGGTTCAGGAGTAGCTTGACACTTGGAATGCAACACTTTTATATCTTTTCCTGAACACGTCTGAGCGTAGTGGTACTTGATGCACTGACTCCACCCTCAGTCCAACTCCTTGTGAAGCTCCCCCAAGTTCTTGAATCGGCTGTGGCCATCTCTGTTGCTTGTGCACCTTTTCCTATCACACTTTAACTGTCCAGTCAACTTTCCATGAACATGCTTTGATACAGCACTCTGTGAACAGCCAGCCCATTCAGCAATGATCTTCTGTGCCTTAGTCTCCTTGTGTAGGGTATCAATGAGCTTGGACAACTGTCAAGTCAGAAATCTTCCCCATGATTGTGGTTGTGTGTATTGAACCAGACTGTGAGATTAAAGGTTCTTCTCAGGTCGACATTTCTGCATTATACATTCTTCATTCTAGCATTCAAATTTTTTGAGACAAGGATTTTTGATTTCCATAAGCTGAAAGCCGTAATCATCAAGATTAAAACAAAAAAAAGAAAATTTTCTCTTCAAGTGTAATGAATCTTAAATATATGAGAAAAGGTTCTAGGGACTGAGGCAGTGATTGGTTAAAAGGCATCTTTACCTGTAAGGAAACCCAGTAAAAAAAACACCCGCAGAAACTGTTTTCATTTGAAATTATAACATGGTACAATTAAAAGCATATCTCTTTATTTCATTTGCCTCTGTCTTACATTCATCAAACATGTTCTCGTCTCACTGATCTTACCTACATGGCTAAAGTCCTGCCCTTCTTTCACATTTTGTTAATGTTAACAATTCCCTGATAAAACCTAACTTTAAGTGCATTCAGAACCTTTTCTTTATAATGTACTCTCTCCTCTTCAGTTTATAACCTCTGACCTTTCTCTCGCAGACTGTCCAGGTTTGGAGAGTCCTCGGGTGGTTCGACATCTGCGTTTCCAGGCCCATCTGCTGCTAGAAGAAGCAACCTGTGAGCAGCGAGGAAGGTTTGGGGAGCTCCTGCTCATGCTACCTCCCCTGCAGAGTGTGGCCTGGCAGATGGTGGAGACTCTCCACTTAGCACAGCTGCTGGGCGAAGCCAAAATGGACAACCTGCTGCAGGAGATGCTGCTGGGTGAGGGAGCCAAAGCAGGACAGGGACAGTGTACAGGTAGGAGGCTGCTACTGTATTTACTTGCAAGGAATTGACTTAAATTATACAGCACGTTAAACTTTGAACCCTACTGAACTTGTACTAGCATTATAATTGAGGCTTTTCCATGTAGCAGTTGTACTTTCACATTGAGCTCTTGCATAGACAGGGTACTATTTTGAATGCTTTCACTCCCAGTATTGCCAGCTCCAGTTTCTCCTCCTCCTTCAGGCCATGGCCTGATTCAAGACCAGCAAAATGAGCAAAGGGCTTCACCTATAAACTTCACCTCCGACATCTCTCACCTTTCAACATGTGAGCACTCACAAATTGACCCTAACAACTGTTTTGAACATGCACCTTGCCATAGAACATCGTATATCTAAGCATTTCCACAAGTAAAAACATATATGCTTTTATTCCATGTAGTAGTCTTATTATGTCCAACTGTAAACGTTATCTCACTGTTTAGTGAGTCTCACCTGACATTTGTTTTCATGAAATTTAAATTTATTGAAAGACTCTGAACCCCAATGTGCTAAATGCCATTGCTGATGTCTGTCTGTCTCACACAGCTCTTTCAATCGGCTTGCCTGCTGCCCCCACAGACTGGCACTGAGGTGTACAGACATGCCGATGTTGCCAATGTGCCCACGGCATACCAGTCCACACATAGAGACACCTCAAGAAGCAACAACTTAACCAAGGAATGGAGGGGTGTTTTGAGCTTGAGACAGAACACAGACTAACATATACACACACAGCCACATACTCTACAAAGACACGGGAGATCAATGGAATTTGAATTTGATTTGAAACAGGAACACATGAAATACTGAATTAATAACATTTAGCATGTCACAAGGTACAGTTAAAACAAAAAGTACAATCTGAAAAGCATGTAAAATAAATACATACGTAAATAGGATAACATTGCACTAAGCTATAACTAAGCATAATTCACTCATTCCTATCACATCTCCGATGTGTTTGACTTAAACTTAATCTTGAAGTGAAGGTCCTAGACATTATCAGCAGAGGGCGCACAAATCCTATTCAGAAACAGATTTGTTGGTCCCTGTGAGGCAACCTTTTCTTTGTGATAAAAACATTCAGTCATGTGGTCAAAGATGTGCATCTGAATGCAGAAATGGTTATAATTTAAAGGTCAACTCACTATAGTGAGGATTTAAGTTTAAAAAAATCACAACCATTTTGACTTAAAGAACACTAAGTGGAATACAAGAATACTGGTTGTGGATAGTGTCCCACCTTGATGACCAGAAATTTGCCAAGCATTATGTCACAGTGAGATGATGAAGGATGAGGTGCCTCAGCAGCACAGAAGCTCAGATGAACTGCAATGACTCAGTATAACTTGATGACAAAAGTGTGTTCTGCATAATGAAACCGTTTCTCTTTCTAGGTTCTCTGTTTGTTTTTCATATGTTAATTAATGAATACCTACAAAAACAGAGAAAGAAATCCATCCTTTATTGTCCCCTGATGCCGGTGGCAACCATATCCACAACAGTGGGTATAATCTAAACAACATATTGGTTGTTAATTCTTAAAAAATACTCATGCATCACAGAAATCAGGTTAGCTAAATAGTGACGTGTACTCTTTCCATTTGAAACTGTATAAGGCCTGTTACATTTCGCCTGAACCCAGTAAGTGGAGGAATCTCTGATGTTATAATAAGTTATGTACAATACCATAAAGCTAAGTGGTTCAATGTAATGAGAGAGGGGGGATAAAAGCTGCCTCTTCACAGACAGTGGAAGTCTTCTTCAAAGTTCACATTTAACTGACTGACATATACTGTATATGCTTGGCCTGCACTTATGTCTGCCGCATACAGCGGGTTAGCTCGTGTAGACGGTCCAAATTCCTCTCAACTGAAGAGCGACATATCGCTGTAGCAATGGGACAATGTGGAGGACAGCATGGACAGATCAGGTCAAGATGAGATATGCAGCTGCAGCTATTAAGCATCCATATGGAAAGTATTTACAAGGGATGCAAGTTTATCATAAGTAAATGTGAAGAAGTTACCCATATTTTTTACCCATATTCATATGATATTTTGCCTCTGTGCCTGTGGCTTTCTCTGGGTGCTCTCGGGTTTACTGTTACAATTCAAAGACATACTAATTTAAGTGGATTGGAGAATGAAAATAGCCCAGTCTGCAGGTACAATATAAATGTGAGTGGACATTGATTTCTGAATGCACCTGCTGGACACAGACACAGCAGCACGAGGGGTCAGAGAGGGTCCCAAAACCAGTGACTCTGAAATGCCTGTTATTATCTATTTTATTTGGAAGGTTGAAGAACTCACTCAAACGTAGGGATGTCTAGATTACATTTGTTTGCTCCTGATCCTTAATTATTGAGCTTCTGCTGAGTCTGATTCATTTTTATTAACATCCATACAATTAGATTTTTGTACTTAATACAGCTGCACAGTGCATATTTAAGCTACAGTAAGGACTCATCCTTGTCCATGGAGCTCGCTCTACCATGTGAACTAACTGGTGCCTCAAAAACACCACAAAAAAGGAATCATATGACAAATGGACTAATGGACAAATAAATGAGTAAGTGAATTATTAGTCCGCCAAGAGCACTTTCAGAATCAGAGAAACATGTTTTGTACCCGGCAGGTGTTTAAAAAAGGCCATATTTTCCACCACTACAGAGGGAAAGCTATATTTTGACATCGTCAGATAGCAGAGCTGTACACTCCTCAACTTGCTGCAATCAACTGACGTGACCTTCCTGTTCCATGTGCTACATCTGGCCTTTACCATCACTTTCCTGGATGTAAATTCAAAAAAGTTATGATCTTTTTTACTTGCTCATCAACAACTCTGTCTGAGATTTAGGTTAAGATGTCTCTGTTGACCTGCATTCACCATTAGCATCCTCCCTAGGCAAAATCTCTGTTTCATCATGTTGGAGAAAACTTGGATGCAAAACATGCATATGCATAATGGACATTCTATAAACAAATGTATGCTCCTTGAAATCTTTCTCTTTCACCTGGCAAAAATAACACAGTATAATATGACATTCCAAGCCAAGCCAGGGCTCCTTTGAAAAAAAGTTTATCATTTTAATAGGTATAGCTCACTGAATACAGTCTAAATACTGTATAACACAGGTCAAACCTTCAGTGTCAGACTGATGCTGTCAATGTAGTCATTTTGAAGGCAGGTTAGGGACTGTGGTGCTCAATCATCTCTACCTTGGGTTGTTCATTTTTGGGTAAAAGTTTAGTTTAGAACAAGTCACTTTAAGTTAAGTAACTTATGAAAGAATCTATTGCTTTTTAGCTTACTAAACGTTGCTCAGATCATAGAACAGGATGTGCACACTCACCCACCGTTCATTCTCAAATCCACACAAACCATTAACAGGTTTTAAAAAGAAACATGAGTAAGTTTGACAATGGGTTCCCTCATCATTCTCAGGTTTCGCTGTTTGTTGCTGTTAAAAGGTTTAACAGTGACGCTGCTGTAATGTTGATTCCTTTCCCAGAGGCCTGCTGCACTGGGAGTCTATTGATCTGTCAAGCTCAGCAGGTCGGTGTTAAAAGCTGAACGCTCTCTCTCAGCTGTCAATGTCATATTCTCCACATCCTGAGTAGAATGAGTCCAGAGGCAGGCGATACATCTGTATTGGCATTGTTCTTTTACACAACAATATGCTCTTCATGTTATTTCCTCATTCTGCTTCACAAGCCAGCTGACTGTTTTAAGTGTTTGAACCAGGAGATTGCCAAACATCAAGTGTAAATATTATGCAATCACTGGCCACAGACCTGCTTGATTCTCTCTAGGCTACTGAAGGGCATACAGGGCTTAGCTATGCCACAGTATTATTTGATTATGGTAGTTTGAAAAGGCAGAGGGGAAAGAGTGGGGAAACACTGATATCATCAAATCAGAGGTTGTTAAAATCTAATTTGCATGTGTCCAAGTTTTGAAATCTTGGTCAATGTTATGACCCTGGGGTCATATTTTGTTGTTTGTTTATCTCTCCCTGCACTGTCAGCTGTTCTCCTCCCTTAGAGTGTGTGCAGTGAGTGTATGCAGGTACTGGAGAACAGGTGGACACACTGGATTGGTCCGGTAGAGCTGATTGGAGCCTCCTGATTGGGCACCTGGATGACAGCAGCCATCTTAAGCCCCACTGACAGGAACTCTTCCCCCTCTCTGCCATTCCCAAACTGCCTGAGTACTGTGTGTTATGTCTGTGTTCATTGTACGTAGTGAACTGTTGTGAGTATATTAGACTTAGATTGTAAGTAGTTTACCTTAGTAATTCTGATTGTCTTATGAAAACCTGGTTTTGTTGGCTTTACCATTTCTGTTTGCTTTGAAGCAATTTTCTTTGTCGTAGCTATATTGTGTCAGCTACTAGCAGTGAGTAGGAGTGAGAAGCACTTTTTTGTTTGCACTGTTTTCTCCTGTTTTTGGACTTAGAAGCCTAGTTTAGAGTTTTGTGTTTTCTTTACCAAGTTTTAGGTTTTCTTAGACTGCTTTGGTTGTTGTTGTTTTTTTGGGCACTACTCATCTCTCTCACATTAAACAAGTGAATGGTAAATTGGATAGATTACTTGAACCATATTTCAACAACCATATTTATAAACATACTGTGAATAGAATAAATGAATAGTGTGGTCACTCATATTTTCAAAGCGGTGTTGTGAAGACACACTCCCACAGCATGACAACGGAAAATATTTCAGACAGGAGTTTAGTACACCTTGTTGCTATTTTCAGAGGTTAAAAACTTTACACAATGAGGCTTACTTTCCATCTCATGGCTGAGATCCCTCTTTGAGAGTGATATAACTTGCTGGAAATCACATGACCTGTAGAAAAAAATCTACTATTTCACAAGGGAATTCAATATTTGTTTATGTGGATCATTATCAGCATTTGATTTTGTTTTGTTTCTAACAGGACTGAATCAGGCACTCAGCAGAAAGGCATAGTTTCTATTAGCTAGTTGGTTTTGATAAGATTTAGGCAATAGTATTGATATAGTTTATCTATTTTTGCACACATGATTTACTAAAATTGTATAGTTTAGATCAATCAATTTCAGCTTTTATAAGTAGGCCAAGAAGTGAGGAGAAAAGAGACTGAACCTGTGAGAGAGAAATCAGAGTGGATCGACATGCTAGTTGCTAGTAGACTGAACCCCTCGAGAGTGAATGAGAGTCCACTGCTCTCAGTGTTTTTGTCTGGTGCCCAGAAAGGCAGGAAACACAGCTTATGATACTTCCAACAGTGGGATAAGACCTGATGCTGTTGGAGCAGTTGAGTTCAATCTAGGATTTTTCCATTCTAACGCTTCCCGTTTCTGTCTGTATAACAGCAAGAAAATCCATCCAACGTTCAAGCCTTTATAATAAACATCATCCTTTCACATGATCTTATGATAGTTGAGAAAGGTAGCATTGCTAATGCTCATAAATATTCAGGCTATAATAAACACTTCTTTTAGCTGGTAAGGAAAGACAGTATGTATCTTTCTACCCAGTCAGGCCAGTAAAGTCCAGCATGTAGATGTTTTCACTGCCCACTCAGGTAGCAGAGACAGACAGCAGTCTTCTTTGTGCTATGGATTTATGGCTGGAAACCGCTCCACCTAAATATAGCTGTGCAGAGAGCTGCTTTCACCGAATTCTGAATTTCAATCAGGGACCGTGTAAGGAGAGGTTGCACTTCAAGTTTGAACTTGAATGTTCAACTGTGGCAAAATTAGTTGAATTATTGCAGCAAGGAAAAAAAAACATAAAAGAGGTTGCTTTTTGAAGTATTTACAGCAACAGAAGAATTGGCCAAGATAAGATCTACTGTCAACCTCCAACAAATCATCCTCTTGAAGAGAAAATGTGATCACGTTTTATCCTTCAGTCGTGAAAGTAAAGCCAGACAAACGAGAGGTGCATTCAGCCCTGGAATCAATCTATCCATATTGTTTGTAGACATGTAGACTTAAACAGGACAAGAACAAAAGGAATGTCTGCTTTGAGTACTCTTGGAAACGTAAGTGTACTGTCCAATAAATTTTGTATCACTTAAGTGATGGAGACAGACAACAACCGGGACACCAGTACAGGCTTCAAACAGTACTCCACCCTAAGATCAGTGCAACTATAAAATGATCCTCACTAAAGCTACAAAAGTTCTGTGGTCCAAATGCACTTCATAAGATTGCCTCAAAGCCTCCTTACCTCGGACATACAGTAACTAAGTAAACTTGTAAGCACTCTTTTATGGGACGTTCCGGTCTCTGCTTCTGGCATATAAAGTTTCACAAGGCTCTTATAAATGTAGAAGGCTTGCCAGGCCACATTGTACAACAAAGCAAAAGAGGGTTGTCATGTTCCAGTGACACTACTCAACAAGACTCAACAAGGTTGCACTATTATTACCATTAGTGGTAGTGTGGTGTAGTGAAACATTCCATTTCATGTGAGCTCTATGTAGCTGTGATGACCCATCAGGTTAACAGAGGTAATTTTAGATGACCACTGACAGCAAAGGTCCTGATGTGATCTTGATGTTCCTGAGCTGAGAACTTCTAAATTGTCTCCTGAGGATCTAACTTAAATAACAACACTGGTGAAATCCTCATAGTCTTGAGATTCTGACTGAGAAAATCAGAAAGTCTTTACAGTTCATTATACATACAGACGACGAGAGAACGTTAAAATCACTGTTGCAAAATAAATACGCTTTATGAAAAGGTCATGAAGAGGATAAGAATTATTTTACAAATGCCTGGGTATAAACAACTGGTGCTTTCTCCATAAAGACCATCAGATGGAGCTGGAAAGAAAGATGATGGCATCCTGTTGATAATCCATCCATCCATCCATCTTCATCCGCTTATCCAGGATCGGGTCGCGGCCTGTTGATAATCTCACTGTCCAATTAGAGTCCAAAACAAGTTTTTGAGATTTTGCCTTTGTGCAGCTGTTGCTCATGACACACTAGAAAATAAGTAGAAGGTGCAAAAGCAGATTTCTCTGTCCGCTGAACTTTATTTTAAAAAAAACAAAAAAACTTAGTCCTACCGATAGTAATGAAATAAAACAGTTCTGAAGCAGTGTTTATGAGAGCAACTTAAATGTTATGTTATCATCAATAAACACAAAACACACAAACACAGTCATAAACAACCACATATGTAAACAATTACAGTTAAAATGGGAGGAAATTATTCCCTCTGACCTCATTGCATAGTAAGCTGCATAGAAAAGGTGAAAACTGATTTCATTATGTTGTGATAAGGGCAACTTCATCAGTCACTACAATTACATCCTAATGTAAGTGTGCTTATAGGCAGTGTATTTTATTATGGGATACTCATATCCTTGACAAAATCATGTCAGGCGCAGAGCTCACCAGAGGCAGCACTCACCAGAGTAGCCTTTGAGCTCTAAACTAATAATTCTTTTGTGCAGTTCAGCATAAACTGGCCACTGTTGCTTTGTTGACCTGCTCGGTTTGTTTGGCCAAGGGAATTCTGAGCAAAAGAGTTCTGACGGAGAGGGGTGACGCGGGGACGCAGGAACAGCTGTGTTTGCTAGGACGAGGCAGAGACGCGTGTTGAGTTTCTTGATTCCCTTCCAAGAGCTCCACAATGCAGAGTTTTAGCCAGACTTGTTCCCCCACTCATCGTGAATGAGTTGCATATCCAAAGTAGCCAATCCACACTCACACACACACAGCACTCAAGCTGTGTGATGCAGTTTAATAAGTCGAGGGTGGATGAGTGGCAGTAGACTTTTAGGGCTGTTGGCCACCGTGAGGCAGAGGAGCCCTGAGAGAGCAACCAGCTTACACAGAGACACTCCAGTGGGACCAAACCTCAACACAATCCCTAGCACTTTGGGTTTTTCCACTGTAGAGAAGCATACTGTCAAGAGCCCTGTCTTAGCACCATGAGGGCACATATTATCTTTTCTTCATGAGATGTGCCTTTTGGTGTTCCAATATGTGCATT